TTTCTAAAGAAAGCTATGCTGTAGTCCTCAGCAGTGACCATCGTGTCGCCGGTACAATTCATTTCCGCTACCTTCTGCGGAAGTCAGCTGGCATCGAATCAAAACACTTCAAAATTTCTGCATCGTGGCTTAGCGCTCCTCGTTCCGCGCTGCACAAGGCAAACGGGTGAATGGGACAGTCTGAGTGGTTCTCCTCTACTGCCCCACAGTAGTCCACGGTTGGCACCGAAAATACTGCATGCGTGGGACTATAGTATTGCCTTATGCGACACAGACAGTGAATTCGACCCGGAACTGCTCTATTCGCGAGCTCGGTCTCGTTGGTAGCGACAACACCTTTACCCAAGATTCCAAACATACTCTGTCGCGTCGCGAGGGACAAACTTCGAGACGATATCCCTAGGTCGCCGATCACTTGAACAGGTTTCGGATGACCACGGAGGTGGGTGTTTTTGATTTCGCGCGGTGTTTGCCCGGTCCATGTACCAAGCCATTCATTTTTTTCAGCTCGCCGTCGTCATTGCGGCCGTTCATTCTCACGCGCTTGCATGATGCGGAAAGAGGGTCATGGGGGAATTATGAGAAACAAAATCACATGAAAAGTGGAGCCACTCAAACAGAATCGTTCATTTGTGAAAATCACCAAGAAGAAGAAAGGGCAATGATTTTCTCTGTAACATATAAAGGGGAGAATTCCAGATGGTTTGGGAGATTTGTACAAAAGTGAACTCCGCCCGCCTCCTACTCTTCGTCGATCCCAATCGCATATCCATGTAAAAAGGAAAAGGGCGCCAAAGATGAAAGAGCAAACATCATGACAAGCTTTTTAGAAATGCCGCACGTTAGGTGGTGTGGCGCGAACCCGAATCTTGCACACAGCTAGTGTTGTTACTGCGGGTCAAACTCAGGGCATTCGTCTCCGAGCTACTGTCAGTGATATCGAGAGGCAACGCCACATACAAAGCCAACAAGCAAGCATGATCGCCTGCTAAGTCTAGAAAGAGGGTCGAGGAGGCGGGGGTACGAAAGTGCAAATGCGGAGTACAACCGCTCAAGCACCAGATGCTCGACGACGACCTGACTGATACGAGTAAGAGCATACTTCCTGACGAGAATTCCGGGCAGGGCGGGGCGGTTTGTGTCCATTGGAAAAATGTCCAGGTCAGGAGAAAATGTGAATATTCGGGTGGTACCGGCGCTTGATATCTGGAGGCAATCAAGCACTTTGGGTGGTTTTTCTGGATCATGCTGTCATTTCTCGTTGGTTTTTCATATTGTACCATGATGTAGACTACTCTTTAGGAAATCATCCCATGATTACGGAAGGTGTCCGCATCAGTTGGACCAGTACACATGATAGTGTACCATTTGTTGGGAGCACAGACCGTGACCGTTTTTATTCTGAGACAACAACGGCTTTCAAGTATGCACCACGCCGATTCGACTTCCTGATTATTTCAAGCTTGCATGGAAGAATCCAGCAGCTACCAACCCAACATGCATTTTTTGGAGCCCCTGCTGGGTTGTTTGAGAATTTGCTCGATCGAGCCATCTTTGCCCGTACAACCTTTGCTACCGCGGATACTAATTGCGTCGAAAGACTTGGACGTGTCACGATTTCAGCAAGATACGTCAGGACAGTCTTGGCTTGTGTAAGCAGATTGTGTGTGAAGTGGGGGAAAGCTTTGACATCGCAACTGAAGTTTGTCCGTCCGCTTTTTGACAGGCCCTCTTTCGCACTCCCAGGAAGCAATCTTCATGCGTGTTTCACCATCGTAGAGTGACTCAAGTTTCCTGGCCATCAGCCGTGTGCCAGATATGTACGACGATGGTTGCGGGCCTGCAGCGCCTGTGTTCAATCTGGATGCACTCTACAGGCGCGCATACCCCAATATCACCCACTTGTCTAACTCCGATAACATTGTAATAAGAACAAATGGATGTATAGGGTCTCCAACATATTGCAGGAGAGGTGGCCGTACTTGACCGAACTTTGTGCCAATGTCCCACCCCTCCCTATTAGAGAGACCAAATCAGTCAGCACTTGGCGAGTGCACTGCTTGGCACCCAGGGACCATGGATGGATATGATGGCTACAGTACAACATGTTAGTCTAGACCGCAGAGCGAAGGCCCTTGACCAGGAGTGAGCCCGCCTTTTCACAAAGTACGGCCATTTTTCCACAGGAGCAACAACACGAGTAAGCTCTGAATGCTCGATCACGCATGAGGCGATAAACCGTTTCACCAATGGACAAGTTATTGGACTGCGATAGGGATACATTACACCAGAGAGTAGATAAATACCACCGCTAGGTGCTGCCAGCATCGCGGAGCGGATGTGAAATATTCGAACCAGACATTCGTAGGGTACCGGGCGGGCCGTACCTTTCTGATGCCCCAGCCTCTTGGTCGTTGCCTGAGATGCGGTGGGCAATCGTGCCTCTTCGTGCCTGTTCCCCGCTCACCCATCTAACAACAGCCCTTCCCAACACCCCGCCACCTCTGCTTCTGCACCCACCAGAACCAACAGCATCAGCAGACCAGCACCCAACGAACATCCCCACACGAAACGAGAGGACCCGGTGCACCTACTGCTGTAGCTACATACCTCATGTGGCGTATTTTTCTCCGCAACTATTGTCGGAGTGATTTTGAAATATCTCATCGAGAGCTTTCCTGAGAGGTATAGTTGGCGCTCGCACCCTCCTGGTTATGGAGAAATTACGCTTTGAAAATCGATCGCACCCTCATGCGTTCTCTGGGATTCTTACGGCGTCCTCCCTTACCTTGCGATTCAGGCGCCGCCGCCCACTGGAATCGGGCCGGCTTTCAATTCCCTAGTACATTAAATGCCATAAAAGCAGGTACCAGCCGCAATGCAATTACACCGGGAGAAGTAACTGCTGTGCTGGCTCTGGTGGAGGTTACGGAGCCTCTCGTGATGTTATGCAGATCTTTGAAAGACAGGACACTGAACATTGAAGGACACAGGGAGGGGCACCCGATACAGTTGTGGTTTGAATTCAATTCAAGAGAAGAAGAGCAAATGCTGGCCGCACGCAATGCAGTACACCAGCACAAGATCACCACTTCTCGAGGCCTCTCCTCAGGACAGAAGACAACATTTGTAGAGATGGATTCGTTTTGTATTAAAACCAAGACCCCGTCCGAACCTGAAGAAGTGACCGAACCGTTATCCGAACTTGTGCACTCGCAATCTTGTGCCAGGTGAAGACAACTTGAGCGTCTGAGTGTGGACAGTATTTATCCGTGTTTGCTCTCCTCTCAACACTAGTACTGCTGCCGATACAAGAAAATACCAAGGCATGGAGCAGCAACTGTCGACCTTCTTGGTCCACAAGGGTGACGTTGGTCCTGCGTACCCTTCCTGATGTACTAGTGCTTTCAAGCGAAACCGCAAGGGGGGACACTGAAAAGGAAACGTGTCCCGTGCAAGTAGAGTGACAAATTTACGTGTCCCATGCATCCAGGTGACAACGGCAAATACCGGAAATGCCGATATGCCGCCAAAATTTCACTGAACCAGAATTCTACCCTTCAAAGAGTCAGCCAAGTATGCACATGCAGGAGCGCACACGCTGCCATTCGTCTGAGCTACTCCCCCACCTCTCCTGGTTTTCGGAGCTAGACTAGCCGGCAATTCCGATCCAGCCGTTGTGCGATACGTAATCATCTCCGTTAGAATTTGAGGAGGACGGAGTCTAAGGCTGTAGAGAAGCACTGCGCCTGTTCGCTCCTTCCTACTGCTGCTTGCGACTGACTTGGGCCCTTTAAAACTCTGACGGGTACGAACAAACTCCTTTGTGTGTGGTCGAAGATGGACTGCGTCATTTGTACAAGCCCAACATGCCACCATGCACAACATACTGCTGCTGCCATTNAATTTGAGGAGGACGGAGTCTAAGGCTGTAGAGAAGCACTGCGCCTGTTCGCTCCTTCCTACTGCTGCTTGCGACTGACTTGGGCCCTTTAAAACTCTGACGGGTACGAACAAACTCCTTTGTGTGTGGTCGAAGATGGACTGCGTCATTTGTACAAGCCCAACATGCCACCATGCACAACATACTGCTGCTGCCATTCACCTGTCGCTGCCCTTCCACGTCTACCTGTCCATGGCACATGCTGCCTCTTGATGCGGCAACATCTGGGAACAACACGGACACAGGGAGTACTCCCCCTACCCATACACACACCGTCAAAGTTGAACAACCTCTCATCCTCCCTTTCCACATACAAATGATGTAGATGCATGAAATGATACACTCTGCTTTACTTATGGTCCGCGCTGTCTACGAATGGGAAAGGTAGCCATACTTTCTGCAGACACACGGGCGAGAGAGGTGACCATACACACTGCATTTAACACACACCCACATGTCGGTGATGAAACCTCAACCACACGCCTCTCGAGTCTATCGGCGGCCACGTCAGGAGGCAATGGTGAGATAATGTTCTCCCGTGCCCTTCGCACATTTAATGACGTGCAATTACACAACACCGTCCCGCACATGCTCCCATACATCACACACAAAAAATAAGTTGATGGCGAAAATATACACACCCCGAGACGGGCTTGCTCCGCAACCACATAAGGGTGCCATATTAGAACACCCGACAAACCGAGTTCCCCTAAATCTTCCGTCTACAACTTCCCAACATCACATGCAGATAGATACCCAAGATGGCTACCAAACTGCCTTGTTGAGCCTGTTACCCACAGGGGAGATNGCGAAAATATACACACCCCGAGACGGGCTTGCTCCGCAACCACATAAGGGTGCCATATTAGAACACCCGACAAACCGAGTTCCCCTAAATCTTCCGTCTACAACTTCCCAACATCACATGCAGATAGATACCCAAGATGGCTACCAAACTGCCTTGTTGAGCCTGTTACCCACAGGGGAGATATCGCTGTATGCTGTCTGGGAAACCGTAGACATACAGGTAGATCTCGCTTACGCGATGGATTTATTGCTAATCTATCTTAGACTTATTTCTATAGATAGAGATGGATTTGTTGTGTGATATTAAGAAAGTAAAAATAAACAACCAGGAGCCTACAGCCGCATCCGAATCTCCGCTGTACTTGTCTAAGGGCGACTTCATCTTGCGCGTACTCTGGTCTAGCTCCAGCTGCACACAGTAGTCGTACAGGTGGCGAGTGTCCTTCTGAGATTGTTCAGTGATCAGCCCTCCAAACCACCCCATGCCCACCCTGAAAAGCACTTCACGCCGCAAAAGCAATCTGTCAAGAGCAACGGGTTTAGCTTCTTGAATACGAAAGCCTGCCGGGATCTCCATTCCCTGTATCTCATCCTCCGGGTCTTGTGGGTTCATGCTGTCGTCGTCGTCCATAAGAGCTAGCTCGTCGGTCTGGAGTTGAGAGATGTCTGCGGACGAGGCAACTAGAAACACAAGAAGTTAGGGTGTTGGATAAACCGGGTAGGCCGAAGCTTGTAGGTTTGTGGAGAAAGGCAG